TCTTCCGAGCATCACCTAACGGACAGCTAGTGAACTTCAGATTGTAGCATTAAACTGAGATTTTTATGTCATGGGCTCAAATCCCAGCTCTGTCGCCGACCTCCAGTGAAACTATCACCAGTTTATTTGACCTCCCAGGGTTGCAGTTTCCCACCAATATATGCTTTAGCAATACCGTGTGCTCCTCTGTCAGTAGGAAGGCAAAGTTCTTCATGCTGTCTGCCAGAATGGTTTCCCTGGAAAGCTGTTTGCGTAATATAAATTCTCCCCAGAATGATACACTAATGAAGTATTTTGAGGCTGCAAAACCTAAGTGGTAGCATCAGAGGAGACAGAGCTTTATGGTATTTGTGCACCGAGAAACTATCTCCTGCCTGTGGACTGTCTCAATGTTTCTGTAACTTTCCCATTTCCTATCAGATTGAACCTAAATCGTTGCAAATTCGATGGTGCGCGAGCCCTCAGCAAAGAGAAGTCAGAGGGTCAGAGGGCTTTCAGCACACCAGCTTCTTCACCGTAGGCTTTTCTCTTTGTGCATATCAGGACAAAGGTGTTAAAAGATAAGGTTTTAAAGGGAAGAAGGTGATGACTTTTTCACATGGGCTTCCTCCCAGGCATGAGGGAACGGATTTACAAAGGAAACAAAATAGCAGTGCAGAAACCTAAAAAACAACAAAAAAAAAGGTTGGTCTCTATAGCTGGCAAATACATTGTGTAGAGGTAATCCTTATACAGGCTAAAGGAACCGTAGCTACCACTGGAGAACCAGGATGGGAAACTAAGCAGTCAACTTTCCAAAACTAAGCTGATGACGTAAAAGCTACTGTTAACAGAAGGGAGTATCTAGTGTAAATAAGAGGCTAGACCTTTGGCTCTTTTATATCAGTGTTTATGACAGTCACGGAACAAAACGCTATTGAAATGCAAAGGGCGAAGCAGCAGGCCTGGAATAACCAGTTTGTGGGAAGTTTTACGGCTCGAGCATAGCACAACAGGCTGCAAGTGTTTAATCAAATCACTGCCTGTCTTCATCCAGCCCCAGATAGGAGACCTGCCTCTTTGCAGATGCCCTGACCACGCCAGTGCAGAAGTGTCGGTGGCTCCGCGTGCAGCCCCGGCGGGGGGAGGGGGCCCGGCAAAAAGCTCCCCCAGGGCCGGGCCCAGCCAGTCTGCAGCACGCTAAACGTTAGCTGATTGCAAAGCTAACCAGTGGCGGTGACGGGACCAGCCATCCAAGTCGACGCTGTTCTTGAAGCTCTGCTTCCAGCGTGCCACGATGATTAACGGTCGTATAGACGAGGCGTGAGGAGAGACCGCGCTTCCTGGGTGCACTTCTCCGTCTTTCTGCTAACGCGCCTGCTGCAGGGCAGGACTTTGCCATCTGGCCCAGCAGCTGCTCATGTTTTAAACAAATGCTTCTTTAGAGTTCACAAAGCCTTAGCTCATTTGCTAATCTACACGATTTGATGGCATGCTTATTATGAAAATGGAATTGATGGTTGTAAGCAATTAGCCGAATGTTCCAGTCTTCCCTCCTGAGTAGCTTGGGCGACTGCACAAAATCCAGCACACGGCTCGCACCTGTCCTAAGCGGTGTGTCCTCTCTTCCAGAATGATTAAGAAACTGGCTGCTCTGGGTAGCAAAGGCAGGTGGAAAGAAACCCCTCTCCACAGAAACGAGCCGGACTGGCCAAAAACTTTCTGCCAACAAGTTCTGAGACAATTTTTCATTTAAAAAGAAGTGTTTTTTTTTTTTTTTTAAATGTAAAAAGTCCAGTCAAATAAAAAAAGATCCAATCCCT